CCTAGTGGGGGCGTGCAGGGAAGCAGCTGATCAATGATTCTATCTCATCATTGATGTTTCTATCTCTCACTCCCTCACCCTTTCTCTCTCTAAAAACCTATGTTTTTAAATGAGCAATAAAAAATTGTAAATCCCCATTGTAACAAGATCATTCTTATGAAGTCATGAATAAAATTTGAATAGAAATAAAAATATTTGCCAGTAGTATAATTTTACAAAATTAAACACAGTAATAAAAAATAAGTCTAAAAATAAGGTTTCAGTCTTCTCTTAAAAATAAGGATAAAAATAATAGATTTTACTGCATTCATCTGTATTGTATAAAATATAATTTTGCAGACCTACCTTCAGCAGAGGAGAACAGCAGATACTTTATTTTACTATTTATAATAGAATTTGGAACATTGAGAGCATCTCCCCAAGGAACTATCCAGGTAATTACGAAAGGAATAATGATTCCAATTCTAGAAACATCTCAAGAGTAGGAGAAGCTAAGAGCTGTTAATTGGAAGAATAATTCTTTTAGTTAAGAAAGCAATAATTCTTTTAGTTAAGATATCATGATATACTCTGTCTCACCTTCCCATGTGTTCTGCCCTCTTTTATCCACACTTAGCAATTATGCTTGTCAGAAAAACATTCTTGGTTTGCATCATGTAAAATTTCGGTCAGTCACTTCCTTTTCTGTTGTGTTACGGGTCTAATAAATTCCATCTGTCAGGATATATGATCACAGCATCTTGTTTTTCTTTGTTTGTTTTTTATAGATGTCAGATTCATCAAAACTATAGGTCACTTGGAAACATTTAGGGAGACTGGGTACAAGTAAAGGCCTTGGTGAAGCAGTCAATTTTAGTAGAGCAATTTGACTCATGGAGTTTAAACTATTCTGGGAGTCCGAGCATCAACGTTGAAGTCAGACAGGTCAGGAAGCATACCTAGGCTCTAGCCACTGTAACTATGTGACCTGGGAAAAGTAACAAAAGCCTCAGTGCTCACCTGTAGGATGGGGTAACTACTGTCTTACAGTGTGACTTGATGATCTCAGGTGACATAGGGATAGCTCTCAGCACAATGCCTGCCTCATATGACACACTAAAAAAATTTTGAAATGATTTATGCAGTTTTCCCTCTGTACAGTTACCGACATAATTGTGCTCAGGCAAAGTTTTATTCTGAATTCTTCAGTGCCCAAGTGCCCAGAACTCCTGAGTTCTTTCTAATTTATTATGGATAAAATGCATCAATGCACTTTTGGGCACCAGGCTATTATGATGCAATATACACTTCATTCTCTCATGAAAATGTAGTTTTGAAAAGAAGGAAGTGTGTGTGTGTGTGTGTGTGTGTGTGTGTGTGTGTGTGTGTTATAGAAAGAAAAAGAGTGGCAGAGACAAATACACTTTGTGTAGGAGATGATTAGATATAATGAAGTAAATAGATGTAGAAATACATGTAACAATACAAATCTATTTCAAAAAGTATTTTACAGAAAAATCCTGAATTTTCAGCTAATGGCAAATTTAAGTTCTGCCAACTCATGGAAATTCTGAACCAGAATAGGCCTTGGAAATCAAAGACTACATCCTAAACATTAACTAGAGGAATAATAAAAGTTGAATTTTCCAAGGTCACCCAGAAATTAATTTAAAATTTGGAAACTCAGACCAGGAACATGATTTAACCATTGACCTTGGCCTCATCATTCTTCATGTAAAACTAAAGTAACTCTCCAAAAATCAATTGACAAAGCATTTCACCTTTGAAAAAAAAGAGGTTACAAAGCTCATACATAACCACATGCTAACAGATTACAAAGTATTAAAATGCTTCAAAATCATATTATGAAACATATAACATACTCTATCAAGAGTTCTCCAATAAATGGTTTTAATCTCACTCCAAAGTAACATTAAGTAAGGTAAGTTACATCTTAAATTCTTTAGGGAGTTTAAGTTTTGTTATTAGAGACACAGTAATACTACAATTTAATCTAAAATAGCAATTTGTTTATATGTGAATAGTTTTAATGTGTTGCCTATGATATGTGTGTGTTTATCTGGAAATGAATTCATATGCATTTTTGGTTTCACTTAGGGGTAAGAAAACTCAAAAACAGACAAGGAAAAACATTTGTTCTCATATTGCATGGATATCATTTTATATTTACACTAGAGGCCCGGTGAACAAAAATTTGTGCACTCGGAGGGGAGGGAGTGTCCCTCAGCCCCAATTGTGCCTTCTCACAGTCTGGGACCCCTCGGGAGATAACAACCTGCTGGCTTAGGCCCACTCCCCGGGTGGCAGTTGGCAGGCCCAATCCCCTGGTGCCTGCCCTGCCTCTCCCGGGCCA